TGAGTGGAAGGAGAGAGAGAGAAGAAGGGGAGGAGAGAGAGAGAGAGAGTGAGAGAGAGAGAGATTCCGCTTTATCCTCACAAGAGTCCAGGGGGTGCTGGAGCCTATCCCAGCCGTCTTCGGGCAGTAGGTGGGGGACACCCTGAACCGGTTGCCAGCCAATCGCAGGGCACACACAGACGCACAACCATCCGCGCTAACGCTCACATCTAGGGACAATTTGGAGTGTTCAATCAGCCTGCCTTGCATGTTTTGGGAATGTGGCAGGAAACCGGAGTACACGGAGAAAACCCACGCAGGCCCAAGGAAAACATGCAAACTCCACACAGGGAGGCCGGAGCTGGAATTGAACCCGGTACCTCTGCACTCAACGTGCTAACCACCAGACCACTGGGCCACCCGTTTGTAAATACAATACAGCCATAATACAGTGAAAAAGCACACACACACACACACACACACACACACACACACACACACACACACACACACACACACACACACACACACACACACGTACTGGATTGTATTTACAAACATATGGCACATGACCATTTTTTGTATTGTATTATTTTCATCCTGATTTTTCTGGTGCGTCACAAGAACACACGCACGTACACATCGATACTTTAAAACTGTCGATATTTGCGGAGTGTTTGCATTTCTTTTTTTTTTCTTGATAATATTTTTTTTTATATTGTATTCTATGCATAAACATAAAAAGTGACAAACATACTTGGAGACTGGAGATATTTTATCTAGTTTTTGTATTATTTTGAATGTATTTTTTAAAATGTTTTAACAACTTCAACTACACATCAGAATCGCTACTTTTAGACTAGATATTTTTCACAGATTTTGCATTTTATTACTGTATTTTTACATTTCATTTTGCTTCACACGCGCTGGAACAAGCACCGAATGCTGCTAAAATTACAGAGTATATAGTGTCCAGCAGAGGGAAGCACTGTCATTCAAATAAATAGCAGGATGGGCTACAGTGTCTGTGATTATGAATTATAATAAAGTCGACTGTAACAACATAACATACTGGAAAACATTTTTAAGGGGACATGATAAAAGAAGGACTTTTGAAGGGTGGAACAAGTTCCCCACCCAAAGAACATCTTTGGCCAAAGCATCAAAGCCAAAAGGTAAGCAGAGCTGCCGTGTTAGCACCGATCAGCATGCTCTTATTAATTAAAAGAAAGCTATGATAATACTTATGTATGATTTGGGAGTTCATATGGTTTCCATGGCAGCCAGGCTACACAGCCTCAGGCTAGCTTGTTAGCACATCATCGCTATCGGATTCAGAGAACGTCCGGCTTGGCCCCTTCATTAACTTCAAATGCTAATTCCTTGGCTAGCAATCAAAGCTATCGATCACCTGGGATGCAGCGCGCTTGCATCTCCATGGCAACAAAGGTCACCTTGGCATCTTTGAAAGCTAACTGCACCTTCCAGCTGCCTCGACAACAGTTTGAAAAGCTTCCAAAAGTGAAGCGTTATGAATTTGCGGAAACGGGCCACTCAAGGCCTAGCTCGGTCCGCTGCACAGGTGATTTCTTCTTTTTTTACTTTTTAGTACATGAGCAAATACTTTTTAATGTCATCATTGTTGAAGTTGTGTGTGTGTGTGTGTAATTTTGTGGGGGAAAAATATTTTCATTCATTTTGAAATGAGTCTGTTGAGATACGAGTTGAAGTTCTCACACCATGTTCGTTGCTCAAAACACTCAAAAGTCATAGCACGAATTCTGAATATGCAAGGTGTAATTCTCTGGTTTCTTTTGTTGAGCTGTGGAATAGCCTTGAGCAGCTTGAAGCCTTTTTGATGAATTTGAATCGATTTCTGCCAAGTGGAGAATATCCGACAAGGTTGGCATTTTGCGCCTTTGTGGGGCGTGAACGTGGCCAAGTTGATTTGTTGCCAATCAAAGCAGCTCCTCTAAGTCCCTTTAAATGTCGCTGGCGATAGTTTTTGACATGGAGGAAGGTGCAAGCAGACCTCCACAAGTCGATGATGTCAAGTTGGTCAGGAAGATCACAGATGTATGAAGCAGGCGTTTGGAGCCCGCCTTCTGACCTGATCGGGCACGTCTGGGTGACAAGTTCACACTTTTCCTTGGAAGAAAATTTCCAAGGTTCAAATTGTTTTCCCCACAAGCGTCAAATGATTCCCTGAGACGTCACACCACAATTCTTCTGACCTGGTGAATGTGAACGTGCACGATATTCATTCGGTATCCTTGATGTCCATGTGCTACGTCCCCACGAGTAATAGAATTGTTGCAGCGAGTGTAGTTTGACCTCACTAGCAACAGTTGTTCTGTTAGTCGACGGAACTAGTACAAATGAATAGCGAGTAAATCACATCAAAAACAACAAAAGTGGAAATGACAGCTGTCAGTCAATTAATGTAACACTCATCGAACGTAATAAGTGGATTTTTATTGAAGTTTGTTCGAGAAGAATTAAGATCAAGTGAACAGCAACATGGAAACAAAGGACGTTCTGGCAGCTGATTGGGTGGAAACAAGAGGAAGAGGCGGGACTTAAAAGATTCCTCACACGCACACACACACACTACAGGTATAAAATCAGCACGTTTTCTTAACACACGTATGGAGCTCCCATCGAATCAGATGTGGGTTGACACAACTAAGGCGGGAAACAGCGGACATTGTGAAAGGAGCCTGTTTGGCTGCCATTTCTCGGATTGTTTCCGCAAACCCTTCGGCGCGGAATGAGCCAATCATAGCGATGTTAATAAACGATGAACGTGACGCAAACGTGAGTCCTATATATCTATTTATTCAAAAGTCTGCGTTAGAGAAAGGAAGAAAGTTAAATCCGAAAAGCATTTACAAGACACTTATTTACAATATTGGAGCAGAACTGCGTGAATGCTAATGATGATGTCATCTTGGATGGTGATGTTAATGGTAATGTCAGCACTGGCATGAAGTCTTTTGAGCATGAACATTAATAATGTCATCAAATGAGGCAAATGATAAAGACATCACTAGCATCTGGAGTGTTGCTAATGTTTTTTGTTTTTTTTGTGGCTAACAATAATGTCCCTAAGATGGCATTATTGTAGCTATTTTGATTTTAGCTGATAATCGCTAGCATTGGTGTGGTAGCAGGAACTCTAATAATAATAATGCTAAGCATCATGTTGCAAATATATCACTTGCATTAGCATACATCATTTGAGTTAATGATGCTTGGATTTGCATGACCGCTAGCGATAACATTGCATTCACGAAGAAATTGTGATTGTAATATTTGGCATTTTAGCTAACAATGACATCATTGCCAGCATTTGCATAAGAGCGGGAATGCTAATAACACCAAAACTTTACATTTAGATTAGCATTTTAGCTAATGAGGAAATCACTAGCATTAGCAGGCTGCAGGAATGATGAGAAAAATGTCATTAAGATTTAGATCACGTTATCATTTCGCAAATGCTGACATCATAGCTAGCATATGTGTACTTTGGAATGAAAATAACATCAAAATTATATTAGAATTAGCATTTTAGCTAATAATGACACTAGCATTAGCGTGACCG